AAATCGAGCAATCGAACAAGATCAAGGCTAAAGCGGAAGCATTAGATTTAACGCTAGATTTGCCTTTTCTTCTATTCTTTCTAACCTTTAAGCTAAGCATAGATACGATTTATTAATCTCTACCGCGTCTTACGCTTCTCGCACTCGCTTAGCTACTTAAAAGACCTATCAAAATCGAGTGCACCAAGTGCAGCAGCTTCCGCTTATTACTATACTTTTCTATCTTAAATACTAGTCTGCGATTTACTACTTGCTTAGATTGCTATTATTAACGACGCTACGAGCTAGCTAAAGAGTACTTTATTCGAGATACAGCTCGGAAGTGTTTAGTTAGCAATTTAATAGATGTGATGATATCGGAATATACAGCGAAATTAGCGGACGAACCTTGTTAAAGCTGTTTAAGTTTATTCTTATAAAAAGAGCTAGATAACTTACATACCTGTTATCATTATCGCAATAAGCGGACCTTTTAGCGCTTATGTGTTTCAGATAAGCGTATAAAAAAGGCTATTCAAAGCTTAAAAGCTCACGCAAAGATCGAGCTTAAGGCTCACCGATTGATAGCCATAAAAGAGTATAAGCTCAACGAATTATAAGATGTACACTAATAGTTTATTATTAAAAGTAGTTGTATAGCTATTAGCAATTGATTAAAGGTAAATAATGTATATAGATTGTAATTTTAATTGCGTCGAATTAACTGTAACTTTTGTAACCTTTATAACTTTTATAACTTAATAATTTTATATGATTATGCATGCCAAGCCGATGGATTTAGTAAGAGCGAAAATTTACTTATATTATAAAAGTTATATAAGTTACAAAAGTTACAAAAGTTATAGAAGTTACAGAAGTTACAAGAGTTATAAGAGTTATAAGTTACTTTATAAAATATAATATAAATATACTGCTATACCGACGAATACGGCAAGTATAAGAATTTGGCTAAGCACGGACCTTTTTAAAAAGTGAATTCGTCTATTACTTTTGAATATTTACTATAACTTAAATATTCTTCTTAACTTTAATATCAACATCAACATCAATTTTAACTCTAACCTTAACTTTAACTTTAATCTTAACCTCAACCTTAACTGCAGCTACAACTACGATTACAACTATATCAGCAATATGATCTTACTCCGTTAGCGCAACCTTCGAAACGGACCTTATACAAAGCGGGTAAGTCGGCCGGATCCGGCTTATAAGCGGCAAGTACAATTACTTCGCAAGCAGCAATGGCTGCTTTTACACTCCTTCCCCTCCTTTCAACAAGCTTTGCCTCTTGCTTTGCTTATTGCCTTAGTTAAGCCCGTAGTATAAGTGATAAGTAATACATCTTAATTACTCACGCTAATATTATATATAAATTCAATCAAGACGACGACGATAATAATAAGATTGAGCTAATGATCTCTCGCTCTCTTTCCCTTTCTTCTTCCTTTTTTTATACCGTCTTCGCTGCTGCTTTGCTTCTTCTTTTCTTTCTCTTTCTTGCTGCTATAAACTTAGCAATAAAAGAGGTTAAAAGAGAGGTAGAAGAGGATAAAGTGATAGAAGATTTTAAGCTTGCAATATAAGTTATCTTAAGATCAAGTGATACATTTAAGCTATCTACGCTAATAATATATATATATATATATAGATTCGAAGACGACGACGATATAAATAAGCTAATGATCTCTCGCTCTCTTTCTCTTTCTATCTTCGTCCCTCTTGCCTTATCGATTCTTATCAGCGCTTCGGCTCTTATATTCTTCGCCGCCGCCGTGCCCTCCTTTGCTACGCCACTTGCTACCCTTCGCTTTATAAGCTTTAGACCGATCTTACCTTTATAATAAAGCATAAGCGTAAGTATATTTTCACATCTTTTATTGATGCTTATTAATCAGATTAATAGATGTTTGCGTCTCCGCCGGCCGTTAATAAAAGGACCCTTTTTATTAAGGCTTAGCTTGAACAAGCTTAATCGACTGCCGGGTTTGCGCGGCTCTTTTAAGCATAGACTACTTAAAAGAAAAACAAAGACTTATACACGCCTTCCGCTATAAGCATATAGTAGTCGTATAAGCAATCGGACTTATTAAAGCTCCTCTTCCCTCGCCGTGCTATCATCGGCCACGTCGGCCGTATCATAAAGACCGAATTATAAGAATTACCTTCTTTTATCTTTTAGCAACCTTAAGCTAATACAAATATATAAAAGTGAGCTAGTAGACCCGTTTTGCGATGCGTGCGCTGCTGCTCGTTAAAAGTGCTAAGTATACTCTTCGGCCGGTAAAGCACAAATATCTAATTCGAAGGATGCGTGTGCTCGCTGTCGGTAGTTTCTTCGAAAGTGTACTGCGTTTAAAAAGAGCCTACGTAAGAAACGTAGACCTGGACCCCCTTCCCTTGCTCGAGACCTCCCCCCCC